AGAGAGAGAGAGAGAGAGAGAGCACATGAAACACAAACCTTCATTCACGTGATGAGACTCGTTATCAATGGCCGCCTTCTGATGATTAGCACTAATATCTGCGGCATTCGCTTCAACCAAGAGTTGCAGAAAATCATTATTCTTGAAGCCATTCCTCCTCTTCTGCAACAAATGTCGGCTCAAATCGCAGATCCAATTGTTGGGACTCTCGCCTAAATGGGTACGTATGCCGAGCGCCGTATTCAACCATTTGGGAAATATGAACGCCGGTATCACTTTCCACGGGTTGAATATAAACACATCACGGCCATTCTTCACGAATACACTATTGGGCTCCTTTTGGGAATTGGTCTCGGTGGCAAACGCCGTACGGGCTATGACGTCCATGGTGAATCCCTGGTGCAGGGCCTTGGCGTCTATTGGTTCGCCACGTTCAGCCAAAATATCCAAGTGCTCTAGGTATTCCTGGAGACACTGGCGCACCAGTGGGTACATTTTGCGCATTTTGCCCGAGGTGAATGTGCCGGACATTATGGTACGCAAGCGTTTCCATGTCTCGCCTTCGGTGTTGAATAGGTTTTTGTTGATGAATGGGTGCTCAGTCTGGAGGGCCCGTCGGTCAGAGAATCGGTGAAAGTCCTTCACGAGTACCTGTTTGACGAGCGCCGGCTCCGCCACCAACAGTACCGGATCCGTGCCGTTGAATATACTGTTTAAGTTACATATTATTAATTATGGCAAAAGTAATAAGGTAATTAATTTTTTTGGAATGATCTAGTGTGAATTGTCGCAATTAATTAACTGGGAAAGTTGGCTAGGTCACTAGTTTTTATTTTCAGTAGAGTTCTTAAATATCTAGTATAATAATATGTTTGTGATAAGTTATGATGATCATTTACCCGAAAACATTGCCATATTTATGGACATACGACTGATCCAGAAGTGGGACCGGATTGCGACAGCGTTCAAGAAATGTGCCAAAAATCACCAGAGGCTTTGGACCCTTTACACCCATCTTGCTGAAATAGCCATAGTTTCTCGTTAGGTACCTAGTTTAAAATTTTAATCAAAGTTAATAAATAAAATTTTATTTTGATTTTTTAAATTTTACCAATAAATTAATGAAAAAATACATAATAAACCAATTATGACCCGCCATAGAGTTGAATCGTATTGTTCAAACATGATGAATAGACAGAGTTAACTTTTTAACTTTGGTGAAAATTATTAATTAAATTTTTTACTAATAAATTTAACAATTTTATACTTTTCTGCAATATATTTGGCGCAAATTTTAGGTGCATTTTTATATAGATTTAATTTGTTTAGAAATTCCCAGATACCAAACAGTGTATATCACGTGGTTTAAGTCCATTCAATCAATACACTAATGAGTGCCCGAAGGCACTGGCAATGCTGTGCCCGTAAAACGTACTATGGAGATATCACCCATGGCAATCAGATATTTTATTTTTAAGTATGATAAGTTATCTTTGATAAATGCACTATGTAGATAATGTATTTAGTTAATATAATTTTTAATAGTGGCTATATTATAAAGTCTATAATATAGACTGTTTACATAATATTTATATATAGACATAATTAAGTTTTTGTGATTTTGTAATACATGTTTTGCAAAATAAGTCGCTTGAATCAGGGTAATTGTACATTTTAATTTGTTGGACATTGGTTAATTAAAACACACATTAAATAAAATTAAAACAAACTCTACAAACAAAACGTGTTTTCAATTATTTCCTAACAATAATGTATTGATTGTGCATTTACCACGTTTTGCACACAATTTTTAAACTCGTGGTAAAACCTCATCATAAATAAGCATTTTATATTCACATTTTGCATTTCACAATAATAAATATTTTATTTTATTTAAAAAACAATACAATCTAAAAAAATATTTACGTTTAGTTTGTTATAAAGTTTATAAACTATTCATTAATTTGTACAATAGATTGTAACTACAACAAATTGTATTGATCATAATATGTTTTATTGTTTATCAACAATATTTTTAATAAATTCAGCAATAACTTATTTATCATTTAAGGTTTAAGATAATCTTAAAATTTCCAAATTTAGCCTAAATGAAATTAAATATTTATTATTTAATATTAATTAATATCTATTATAATTTCAATTAAATTTCTATTTCTACTTATATGTCTTTTATATTATATTTTACAATTAAATATTTATATAAAAAATTCAAAAATGATCATGACACATAATTACCGCTTTTCAAGACCGAGAGTAATGCTCTTAGCGGTCAACATCGGGGTCATATTAGAGAACTGTATTGGGATCTCAGTCTGTGGTACTTTGGTAAACCTAAAGTGCATCACAATGTGCGCCACCGCCAACTTGACCTCCATGAGGGCGAACCTCATGCCCAGGCAATTGCGGGGTCCGGTGCCGAACGGGACGTACGCATAGGGCACTAGTTTGTGCTTATTCTCGGGTAACCACCGGTCGGGTCGAAACTCGTTGGGCTCCGAGTAGTACTTCTCGGACCGGTGTATGGCATACACCGGGATCTCAACCCTTTGTCTCTTACGTACGACCACACCGTCGGCGCCGAGGGGTATGTCCTCGGAGGCCACCCGTTCCAGTCGCGCGACGGGTGGGTATAGGCGTAGGGTTTCGGTTAGGCAGGCGTCGAGGTATGGCAGCCGTTGGAGGGTCTCGTAGTTGATCTCGCCGTCTGAATCGACCGCTTCGGCTACTTCGGCGCGGATCCGCTCCTGTGCTGCCGGATAGAGAGCCATGAGATACGAGATGTAGCCGAGGGTTGTGGCCGTTGTCTC